GTAGGAGCCTATGGTGTGGTCCTGGTGTCTGGGGCTGTTACAGCCAGCACATGGCTATTGAGCGGTCCTGAGAAGCCTAACCCTAACTGAAGGATTTTGATATGTTAGGTTCTGTACTCTACCTTCACTTGCATTATCTCACTTAATCTCTATAATACCCCTAATTATCTATCCCTACGTTATATTAATATCTCTATAATATTCTTTTTTGTCCCTCTATCTCAGACTTTCTCTGCCAGCCTCACTGAATGTCAACTCTGGGTATTTCTTTTCACTATATAACAGACATCTGAGATTGACAGTACACTAAAAACTCCAGAGTTGATGCAATACAACATCCAGCTTTCTTTCACATTCTTAATGCTATGTCAAATCCTCCAACAGAGCACTCTGAATTAACACAAATTCCTCCTCCTACAATGTTCTCATTAACAAAAGGCTTTGTTACTTTCCTTTATAATAACTGACAACTCTTACAACCCGTTAGATAACTTATCCTAGAATCACATGGAGGGTCTAATCATCAAAGTTACTCTGGTTTGGATATTTCTTTCTCTAAGGAGATTGCACTGCTTTTCAATAGTGACCTGAGGATCTGTCCCTCTTCTCTTTGATTCATGGAAGCCAGTAAACAATTTTTAAAGAGAAAGCAAATTCTTTCAACTGTGCAGTGTCTTCCCTATATACTGTTTGTTTCTCCAGGACCTGGACCTTTCTCAGGGATCATTGACATCTATGGTGTTGGAGGGGGCCTGTTGGAATACCGAGCCAGCCTACTGGCTGGCCATGGCTTTGCCACACTGGCTGTAGCTTTTTATAACTTTGAAGATCTCCCCAAGGATGACAGCAACTTACGCCTGGACTACTTTGAAGAATCTGTGTGCTACATGCTCCATCACCCCCAGGTTCTCCTTTTGCCCTTTGTTTCATCAGTCTCCCTAGAAACATCTCTGGAGAGGGTGTAACTTGTACCAGGTGCAGAGATGCTGGTTTGTTCTTTCATCACAGAGACTTCCTTGGCTTTAGATGCCTGATATTTTCATTTTTCCTGTCAAATGAATTCACGATGTAGAATTCATTTGTAGCATTCATGTGAAATTTTATTTTGTACTATTAAAATTATTCTGCAGTACAAATTGAGCATCTCATTATCTTTTCAGGCTTGTGTTTTAGTCTTTTAACATTCTGATTCCAGAGCGTGTTCTCACGTTTTGACCTGATCACAGTATTTATGACCACTTCCTAAATTTACTCGTGAGTTTATGATTTGTTTGCTGTGTGTTTAGTCAGATATTCAGTACTTAGGAAGAAATGCCCCTGTCAGCTCATGTTGTAGGCAGTTCACAGATTGGAACTAGTACAACTTCTAAGTGCATTTTAGAAAAGCAGTTTAAATTTTTATTTGTGTGTGATGCTGGGGATGGAACCCAGAGCTTTGTGCATACTAGGCACTCTACCACTGAGTCACGTCCCTAGCCCAGCTAAGCATTTTTTTATGGGATAAATTCTTGACTCTTGATTCTTCTTTCTTCCAGGTAAGGGGCCCAGGAATTGGGCTTCTGGGTATTTCTCTAGGAGCTGATATTTGCCTCTCCATGGCCTCATTCTTGAAGAATGTTTCAGCCACAGTTTCTATCAATGGATCTGGGACCAGTGGAAGCAAAACCATATACTACAAGCAGACTACCATCCCACCATTGGGCCATGACCTGAGGAAAACCAAGGTCACCTCCTCAGGCATTCTTGACATTGTGGACATACATAATGATATTGTAGGAGGGCATAAAAATCCAAGTATGATTCCAATAGAGAAGGCTGAGGGACCCATCCTCTTCATTGTTGGTCAGGATGACCATAACTGGAAGAGTGACTTATATGCCCAAACAGCCTCTGAACGATTACAGGCCCATGGGAAGGAAAAACCCCAGGTCTTCTCTTACCCTGGGGCTGGGCATTACATCGAGCCTCCTTACTTTCCTATGTGCCCAGCTTCCCTGCACAAATTAGTGAACAAAACTGTATTCTGGGGTGGGGAGTTCAGGGCTCATTCTAAGGCTCAGGTAGATGCGTGGGAGCAAATTCTATCCTTTTTCTACAAACACTTGGGAGGTACCCAGAACAGAGTTTCCCCAAAATTATAATGTGTTTTCTGTTGACATGGGAGATTTAAGGTTAGATTCTAGTGTTCACTGACTGTATATGAATCAGTGGTCTAAATATCATTAAATTTCAAGTCTTTGGCATTAGTACTGTATTTTAAGTCATTTTATTGAATATGATTTATTTGTCCATATAGTATTTTACTAATGGAATATATTCTTGTTGTAGAAGATTCTGATATATACTACGCAAGAAAGTAAAAAAGCATCCTCATTGTTAGAAGTTTTGTTTTATCCTACTTTTTTCTGTACTGGGGCTGAACCCAGTGGCTTTGTACTCAGCTATATCCCTAGCCCTTTACAAATTCTTTTCAAATTTAGACACAGTGTCTTGTTACATCATCAGTTGCCTGGGCTAGACTTAACTTAGAACCCTCCTACCTCAGCCTCCCATATTGCTGGGATTACAGGCATGTGCTACTACACCTACTTTACTTTTTTTTTTTTTTTTTTTTTTTTTTTGGTACCAGGGATCGAGCTTGGGTCCTGGTGCTTGCAAGGCAGGCGGCACCACTGGGCTAAATCCCCAGCCCTCACACCTACTTTACTTTTGACTGCTTATTTTTTACAGAAAGGTAAAATATATTTACATCTGTTGATAAACATGAGAAATTGTACTATGAGGAAGTGCATGTATATAGAAATTATGAAAAGTATTAGGTGTACACCACCATGCCCAGCTGGTGTTTTGGGTTTTTAGATAAGACTTTGACTTAAAGATGAGTTTTAAAGATGGGTGACTTTTTCCATCAGTGTGAATGAAAGAATGGTTATCCAATATTCCAAATACTGATAGCAGAAGAGAGTCTTTATTGGCCAAAAGCATGCACAGGGATGTTGATATAAAGAAAAGCAACGGACCGTTGTATTATAGAAGTCAGTAGAAGAGTCCTTTGAGAAGAGGAGCTGTGAGCATCTGTCTGTAGAATAGTTAAATGTAAACTCTCCTCCAAGGTTGAATGGCCAGTATGTTTTCCATCTCACTTCCTGGTTCTAAGAGTGGACCTTGGAAAAATCATAGCATGACAGTCTTAGCAGAGTCATCCCTCACTTCAGTTCACATCAGGTCTCTACACCATTGGATAAGTGCATCTGAAGATACAATGGCAATAATTTTCCAAATTTGATATTCATTACACCATACCTCATATTCAAGAAACACCATAACCACATCCAGGATAAATACAAAGAAAATTATTCTTAACACATTACAATAAAATTATTTATAGTTTTATAACATAGCTAGCTGTAAATTCTTTGCCATTTCATCACCAAGAATAGAACCTGTGCCCTTCAATTCTGCGTGGGTTTGTGACTGTTTTGATCAGTGGAGCAGAATGCAGTTAAGCTACAGGACTTGAGGCCTGATCATTATATCTGCTCTTGCTGTCCTGAGCCACTATGAATGAATATTCACTTATTCAGGCTATGTTGCTATCAGGAAGCCCAACACACAGGTGAGGTCTACTACACTCCCAACAGAGGTAAGACCATGATTCTTCTTACCCCATGTGTCAGATAATATGGATGAAAAACCTCCAGAGTATTATAGTCCCAGCCATTTGAATCTTCCCAACATATCCTCCCAAACATGCTGAGCAGAGAAGGGTTATTCAGAGTTATTCAAAGTATGGAATTTGAACAAAATAACTGAGTGTTCTTGTTTTAGGTGACTTCTGTTTTGTTTCCATTGTCTATTGATGTGTAACAAAACATCCCAAAGCACGGTGGAAATAATATCCATTTATTTTCCCCAGAACTCTGCAAGTTGGATAGGACTCAGTAGGAATGGATCACCTCTGTTCTGATGGCTTTGGCTGGGGCAGTTTGATGGCTGGAAGGTCTACTTTTGTGGCAAGGGTGCTTATGTTGGCTTTAACTGGAACTCAGAAAGGTTTACTGGGGGGGTTCTCAATTTCTCTCCTCATGGGCCTTTTCACTGGCTATGTGGGCTGCGTCCCAAGAGCGAGTGTTCCAAGACAGCAAGGCACAATTGCCTGGCCTTCCTTGGATCTAGTCCTAGGAACTACACGGTACCACTCTTGCCATACTGTATCGGTCAAGGCAGTCACAGTGGTCACTAAAGTTCCAGGACAGTAGAGAACCCCCTTCTTGAAGGGAAAGAACAAGTGTTCTTGAAGAGCATGTGAACTGGGAAATACTGTAGCCCTCTTTGGAAAATACAATCTACCTTCTGGCCACACGTACCTCCCACATGGAAAACACACCCATCCCTCATCTAAGATCTCCAGATTGCCATTCATCACAGCACCATGCCAAGGCTCCACCAGGCCCGAGAGCTCTTCATCTACATCTCGTTCAGGTACAAATGAGGCTCCTTAGAAGAGTCCAATGGGTACAGCTCCTTGAGTACCATTCATCTCCATCTTAATGCCTGTGAAACAAACAAGTCAACTGTCCCTACAGATTACATCCACTGTACAGTGATGGGAATGGTATAATTCCTGTTAAGATTCCTGTTCAATAATTGGGAAAGAGGGAGCTACAGAACTGTGTTTGGCTCTTAGTAACTCTGAAATCCCGCTGAGATCATGCTCCCAACTTCATTAATTCTCAGTTGACTCTGTATGAATTATTCTCAATGGTGGTTGTTCCACCGCTGAACTGAGATCTTTATTTACCATAAGAAAACTGAATTTGGAACTAAAAACATCTATTCAACCTGCTTTTTCCTAAATGAAAACTTTTGGGAGGCCAGAGTGTGTCTCTCTCTCTCTCTCTCTATCTCTCTCTCTCTCCCTCTCTCTCTCTCTGTCTCTCCTCTCTCCCTGTCTCTATTGCTGTCTCTGTCTTTCTGTTTCTTCCTATCTCTGTCTGCCTCTCTCTCCCCTTCCTCTACCACCTCTCTCCTGCAAGGTAGTATATTGGTCAACAAATGTCTTTTTGTATTTGTCAACACCCATAATATGGACAACTGTAAAACCTGGCCCTTGCTACATGGGCCACAACCATCGACCGGGTGCTTACCAAGGACTGACAATTATAAATATGCATCTTCTGCAGCATGAAACATTTTTCGAGGACTTGAGAACCATTCTCAGTAATGTAACCATAAAAAGAGTAAGACCTATCTCCTAGAGTCAATGGCAGGACAACACCAGTTTTGAAATTAACAGCCTAAAGAACACAGCTGGTTTATCATTTACTGTAACCAACCTTTTGAATGTTTTGTTTATATTACTTTGAGCCCTTGTGCTACCCTACAGTTATTTGCTTTTAATTGGATTTAAAAATTACTAATTTTGGAGGCGCGGAGCTGAGCTATACATATATATTTTTTGTTTGATGAGATGGAGTCTCTCACTGTTTTGCCCATAGTGGTCTCAAACTCATGGACTCAAGTGATCTTTTTGACTCAGCCTCCCAAGTAACAGGGGCTACAGATGCACACCACTGTGCCTGGATTATTGTGCCTGCTATTATTACACATCCCTTTACCTTTTCTGTCAAAAACACCTCTCACGTGCTTTACAATGGTAATGGTTACCTTAGTTACTTTTCATGGACTGAGATCCATTCTTGTTAAAACTGCTGAGTAGTTCGATGCAGGTGGCCTTTTGACATCAGGAGGCTGAAAACACCTTCAGATCACGTTAATACCACTATTTTCTGAACACCTGTGCCAGGAAGTTTGATTACACATGTGCAGACCACTGACTGCTTCAGCTCTGGTCACCTTTCCCCACACCCTAAATCACCCTTTTCTTTTACCCCATAAGTAACCCTAACCTCTATCCTCAGTGGAGTACTTTTAGACTTGGGTCTCCCACCTCCTCCCTTGGCTGCCTTGCAGGTAAACTCTTTTTGGCAAATCTGTTATCTCAGTAATTGTGCTGCAATCAAATAGGCCTGATTTGTTAACAAGAGGAACATGCGGAACTCTAATGTAAACTTACTTAATGATAATATTCTGTTATTGGCTTAGCAACTGTAGCAAACACATCACAGTAATGCATGTTAATAATAGAGAAAGAGAGGGAGAGGGAGGGAGTGCGCTTGGGGATGTGCAGCTGAGTGGGCGTGGCGGATAAAGGAGACATGAAATCGCTGTTGTTTGTACTCAGTTTTTTCATGCTGGCCAATGAAAACTGGGGCTCCAGTAAATTAGAACCTAAACTGTTCTAAAAATAAAGTCCGTTCTTAAGTTTCCTCTTCTTTAAAAAGCATATATTTAGCTAGAGATGCATGTAGCTCAGTAGTAGAGAGCTTGCCTAGCATGAGTGAAGCCCTGGGTCCAATTACCAGCACAGCGGAAAAAGCATATATTTAATGACAACGGACCCTCAAGTTACGACTGGCCTGACATACGAACAAGTTAATTAGGTTAATGGAAGATTCGTCTGCCCTTTGTTGTCTATAGCATATACCCAGGTAAACATTCAGATCTCAACTGTATCAACTTACAACCAATTTGAGTTAAAACCAGCCCTCGGGAACTGGTCGAGTTCATAAGTCAAAGGTCCACTGTATAATGCACAAGGGGCAGTTGAAACAGAGGCAGAGCAGGAAAGAGGACAAAAGAGAAATGAAGTGATAGGAAGAGAAATGGAAAGCTACAGCACAAGAACACCCATCAAAAAGAGACCAAGATAGATTTAGTCACAGATAATGAAAGGCTCAAGAGCCCCCTCAGTCACAGGAGAGTAGACACAGAGATACAGGTCCTGCAAGCGGCAGTCACAAAAGCTGAACCAGGAGGAAAAGGATGGAACTCACAGGGAAAAATGGAATGAGGCATACAAAGAGAAAGCAAGCAACACCCTTTCTCGGGACAGTATCCCCTTTAGGCTCGCACCAAGAAAGGCCATACTGCATTTATAGAAACATGGCGCAGCCAGACATAATAGTGTGTGCTTGTAATCCCAGCTACTTACGAGGCTGAGGCAGGAGAATCACTAGTTCAGCCGGGCATGGTGGCATATGCCTGTAATCCTAGCATTTGGGAGACTTGGAGGATCCCTGTGAGTTTAAGGTCACCCTGAACTACGTAAAGAGACCCTGTCTCAACAACCCAAAACAAAGACTATCACAGTCTCCACTACCACATTAAAAAGGGGGAGGAGCAGAGGGGGGGATGGTGGTGCATGCCTATAAATCTGGCATTCAGGAAGCTGAGGCAGGAGGATCACCTCAAGTTTGATGGCAGCCTGAACTACATTGTATGACCCTGTTTCAAAAAACAGACCAACCAAATTCTATACATACATACATACAAAGGATTCCTCTGCCTGCCTCACAGCATGGCAGGGAGAACTAGGTGAGGATATTTTCTAAAATACATGTTAAACTGCATGCTGGACATAAACAATAAATTGTTATTTATCTTGGGGTCCTTGAAGTACAGTTCCCTGCTGTTCAACTTCTTAGTAGCATCTATTAGATTGAAGATACCCTAGACTACAGTTTCCTCGGTTTTATTCTGGACAGTTTGCATGAGCCTGAGAAGCACAGTCACACCCCAGGCACTTGGTTTCTGCAAACAGTGAGCAGAGCTGCACACCACAGGGAAGTCTGCTCTTGTATACAATGATAATGATCCATGTCAATAAAAACCATAACTTACACACACACACACACACACAGGAACTTGCTGAGAGCCAGGAATTTAGCTCAGTGGTTCTGCCACCTGCTTTGCAAGCACAAGGTCCCGAGTTTGATCCCTAGTACTGGGGTGGGGGGGTAGTTATCCTTGAAGACATAGAGATGCCATGAAGAGTCTTTGAAACTGGCCTGGCTAGTTTATTACTACCAGCTCATTGCCCCTTGCTCCAAGTTAATTCCACCTGCCCATCTACTCTTCAATACTCCACATCAAAGAAAGCACAAGATTCTTTCTTCTTTGGATCTTATTTCTGAAGACTCTCATTTCATATAAAATGTATAGTTTTTAAAAAGTGTATATTTTTCTCTTATTCATCTCCCACCCTTATCAAAGTATCAGCCACAAACCTCTCAGCTGAATCCAAAAGAGGATTCAGCATGGGGGTGGCAGGCAAGAGCAAAAACTTAAAAAGCGTAGTGGTTGCTAGCCATCAGAGGTGGGTGCTAGGTGTTAGTTTGAAGAATGGCTGCTTCGAGGGGTCTGGGGCAGAGATAATGGTCAAACTCCTCAGAACGGGTGGTGGTGCAGATGTACTCAGAGTTCCTGGAACCAAGGATGGTGTAGCTGTAATGGTTCTCCCCGCCATTTCACACTCTGCAATGGCTTTCCCCACTGGCATGCAAGCTGCCACAGCTCTTCCTGCTGGTGTGCAGGTCGTAGTGCTCTGTAACAGCTTTTCCTGCTGGGCTTTATATTCTGTGTCTTTGTTGTTAAAAAGTAGGGGAGGTGGGCACTGTTTCTCATGGCTGCTTCTTACTGTGGGTAGAATGGACACCTTAATCGAGAGAGAGTTCCTGGGGGATGGGGTGGCATGGTGAGGTGGTCTGAGCAAGCGTTTGTCACGTTGATTGATTGGTGGTAGCCTCAACTTGATTTTGTAGGAATTCTGAGAGAAACCTGAGGAGACATGGCCTGAGGAGGAGGAGAAGGAGGAGAATACAGCCAAGAGGCCAAGTTAGGGGGAAGAACCATGAGGCTAAGGAGCCCCAGATGCCAGTCCGAGAGTCAGACATGCAGCGTCCAGTTCCTAAAGCCTTGTCAGTTAGCCTTTTTGCTGCATTTGAACTATGCCAGACCAGTTAGTATAGAAGCCAACATTCTTCTCCACGAAAGATGCACAGGCTGGGTTTTTCAGCCATGAGAAGATCTGGGCCACTATGATTTTGAAGGGTTACTGGCAACAAGGAGTCTATCTGGTTCTGTAAGGTAAGAATGGAGTCAGCTATTTCTTTTAGGCTGTCAGAAAGACCTCAGGATAAGAAATAATAGTAGGTTAGAGAGGCAGCTAGACCTGATATTCCTGTCCCTGCAGCCATGGCAATTCCCAGATAGACAAGCAGGAGTATTTGTAATAGTTCTCTACATTGTCAGATCAGGACTCTAATGGCAACAGGCAGGCTCTTGTTCCCCAGGGCGATGTCTGTTTTGGGTGTGAAGTAAGTCAGAGTGCAGGTCCCAGTCTAGTTGGTGAGGAAGCATAGGTAGGTGGATGTTTCACAAAGGAAAAAAATGCTTTGGCTGGGTAAGAAGAATTGGTTATGGATGCTAGTGAGACGTGAAAGTTTGTTGTTTTTATTCACCCAGATGCCCATAGTACCTGGCAGGGCAGCTCCCATCAGGAGCCAGAAGGGCCCCTGATGGAGGATGCTGCTGGAGTTTGTTGTTTTGTTTTCCCGTAGGAAGAAGGATCATTTGGTATCTATTAGAAGCCATTGTGAGGAGTTGTTAAAGGTGGGCAAAAGGAGGCAATCTGAGTGAGTGGGAGACTGCCTATTAGAGGTCCATGGGTGTATTGTCATGCATAATAAGTGGTGGCCATTACAGAAATCTGTTTATTGAGCAGCGAAGTTGTAACCTTGGGAAGGTCAGTAAAGCAGACAGGCTTAGTGAATGGGGCATCCTGAGCAGCCTGCTGACTGGTGTGGTCGGCAGGGGCCAGTAACAGTAACATATCATTACATCATTGTGGGGGCGCTTAGACATCCTAGTGGTGTATGGGAGGACAGATTACACTGGATTCATCTGGGCATTTGAAAAGTCAGACAAATATCAGTGATTATGGGGCTGTAGATGGGTTTGTTGAGCTTTCCTATATGGAGAAGTCCACAATATAGGACTGAAGGAGTTGGGCCACACATCCTGCCCGAGTCTTTTGGTATTTTTGTTTTGTTTTGTTTTGCTTTTTTAGTCATGTCATTAGTGGGGAAACCAATCACGGATTTTTTGTTTAAAAGTAGACCTTTTGTTTCATATTGGGAATGGTGTGTGAAGTTAGTAAGGACCCAGGCCTAAGGAGGGACTGGAGTGTCTGCAGACATGGAGATACAGAGCTAGCAATTTTTGGCTAAGGAAGGATTGGACCAGTTTAGCAGGAAGTAAGTTAACTGTAGGGTCCAGTAGAGATAATTTACGACCATTAGGAGAAGTACAAGGGGTGCAATAGGTGGGGGGCTGGTCTAAAGGAACAGGAGGACTAGCTGGACCCAAGAGCACAGAGAGGAGGAGGAGGAGGAGGAGGGGAACCTAATTAGGGTGAGGGCAAGCATGAGCATGAGAAATGATTCCATCCCTGAGGCAAAAGACAATTGGTTTGCAGCTTTAACAGCATTATAAGTAAAATCCAAAGGAAAGTGCATAGTAAAAACAGGACGTTTAGGGTCCTCTTTATCAGTCATTGAACAGGAAGAGGGCAAGAAGGAAAGAAAACAATTCAATCTCCTCTGGGGAGAAGTCACACAGAGTGCCCCGAAAAAGATCTTCTAGCCATATAAAGAAGGACTCAAGGGTAAAATCAAGATCAAAGTAGACTGAACAAAGGAAGTGGGTGAAGTGGCAGGATAGGCAGGGACAATGCATTTAAATGTCTTCTGAAATTTGGGTCAGTCTGAGGGAAGTAGGGAGATTACTTGCAATTTCCACAAGGAGCGGTCAGGCAAATTATCAGCAGGACAGTTTTACCTGCTAGTGATGTACTCAACAGGGAGGGTCTGCTAGATGGACAGCCAAGGGGTGTTATGATGACCAGGAAGGGTCCTGTCCACTTGAGCTGTAGTGAGCAGAAGTTTAAGTATTTAGTTAGGACCAATTTTTTAGCTAGGCTATCTTCATAAGGCTGGGTGTCAAGAGAAGGCAAGAGAAAGTTAGCATAATGGATCTCTTTCTGAGAAGATAATCTCCAATGGGGCTGTCCTCTGGGCTGAGCTTTGGCCCAAGTAGAAAGATGTGGCCATATAAAAGATCAAATGGACCGTATTCTGTACCTGAAGTTCCTGGAACTGAGGGCGGTGTGGCTGTACCTGGAGTTCCTAGAACCAAGGGTGGCGTAACTGTACCTGCAATGGTTCTTCTCACCAGCATGCAAGAAGGCAGGTCACGGTGCTCTGTAATGGCTTATCCAGCCAGGCCTGACACAGCAGAAGGAGCCAACAGCTGGTTGAGAGAGTAATCAAACTGTTCACAGAAAAAAGAGATCAGCAGATTTTTATTGATTTGTTGGGGGTAAGCTAAAGTCTAGTAATTTCCATTGGCCAGGACATAGTTCAAAAGTTTTTGGTAGTTTTGTTTAGTTTTGTTTTCCAGATGGACTTGGCAAAATGGGTAGTCATGCTCAACTCATCCTAGAACTGCCAAATCTCTCTCTCTCCCTCTCTCAGTCTCTCCCCCAATTTCTCTCCTCTGATAGTGAAAGATTTGCTTCCCTCCAAACTCTTTTCTGAAACAATAAACATACACATTGATGGTAGTCTTAGAAAGGAAAGTTAAACAATAAGTAAGCTGTAAATCAACAAGCATAATACAAACAAAAGCTTAAACAATACTGTGAAAAGATTTACAAGTAGGCAGAGATTTTAATTCTAGAAAATGGATAGTTTAAGTCACATTCAACACGTGAAAGACAAACTTCACTTTGATACAAAAATTTTTTCCACTACCATATTTTGTAAACCTTTTGTGAGATTTGTATGAGCACAGACCTAAGAAATTGTTCACTTCGCCTTGTTAAAATCAGTTATAATCCGTATAATTCCAACAATGCTGCTTAAATTTAAAATTGGCAGGGCCGGGGATCGCAAGGACCTGAGTTCAATCCCCTGTACCAAAAAAGATTAAAACAAAAATTGGAGCTTATCCATGATATTGGAAGTATCACAGCTTACTTTTATCTTGTCAGAAATAAGCTCTAAACTTAGCACTATTAAAAATGTATTTAACAAAGACATGAGGTTGATTTAAATTTCACTTTACAGGTAAGAGAAAATTACAGTTTGTCATAAGAGCACTTTTAACAAATTTGACCTTCCTCCATCTGTAGTTAGGCTAACTGTATTCAGTGGGAACAGGTAGATATGAATTCTGTGTGCACAGAAATGGTAACACATGGAAATTGGCTTACACCTTATAACTCTCCAAAGGCACTGCAAGAGATGGCTTATTCGCTGGTTAGGAAAAGCAATATAACAGTCAGACACAATTTCCTTTAATTATTTTTTCATTTTCTTTATCATAATTTAATTGGTACATTTCATCTGGATCACTGCCATAGTTTTCAAAAAAAAATTCCTAAGTAGTAGTAAGCAGAGATGTTATTATAAAGGACTGCCGGCAACCAAGTTTATATTGTAACATAAACTAGAGCAGATCAAACGTCTTCCGCGGGATGCACTGTTTCCTGGCTAACACTGGTTTGGTTCCTGAGCACTATCTCATTGTCAGGTGACACAGATCACTGTGTAGCTCTACTAGGATGGATGGAAAATGAGAAAACCCACTCAGTGCTGGATTTCTCTGGCTAGAGGATGGTGAACTTCTCAACAGGAGATTAATGCAAGATGCCTCTGCAGCAGCCCAGAAGCTCACTCCCAAGAGCAGGAGGAGATCAACTCCAGACCAGGGGGACACTGTGTCTTCACCCATGCCCACTGCTCAGCACCACGGAGGGAAGCCTGCAGAGAAAAACAGAACACAGCAGAAAGCTACCACTTCCACGTCAGATATGTTGCTTAAATCAAGGAGAAATAGACACAATCTAATTAGGCACAATCTACTCTAGTTAGAGTGCCTGCAGGCTCCCATCACGATCTACGGGCCCAAGGTCCAACAGAGAAGTTCATGCTGATTATTTTGATATAAAAGATAACAGGAAACCTTAATATTTTAAGCACTTATGGCACAAATACTGGGAATTACTAATAGCACAGCTTAACCCTTCAAAAGCTGGGCAGTTTAAAGTTCTGATGCAATTAGGGCCGGGGATTTAGCTCAGTGGTTCTGGTGCCTGCTTCACAAGCACAGGGGCCTGAGTTCAATCCCCCATACCAAAAAAAAAAAAAAAAAAAAAAAAAAAAAAAAAAAAAA